TATAATTAGTACTTTGTTTTTGCTGATGTTTAAAAATTAGGTGTTTTTATTTTAAAAATTCAGGATTTTTGCTTTGTCTCAAAAAAAGTCCCTGCTGTTCACATAGAATATATCCATTTACCCTTATAGCCAAGGTAAATTCCTACACATTTATTAGTTGTCTGGCCATGGTAGAGATGTGTTTGCTATGCCAAAGTTCCAGTTACCTTTTATCTATATTGAACATCATTATACCAACCTACTGTACATACAAATAAGAGTAATTTGAGAGGTTAAAACTATTGACATGTAAGGCCATCTCATTTTGTTTTTTTTTAGAGTGATTTGGAATTTTTTTTTTTTAACTAGTATTTGTGCAGGAACTGTGACAGTGATTTTCTCTTATTTACTTTTTAAAATCACGTAATTTGCTTATTGCAGATAATATTTTCCTTGTTCACCTTTTTTATTCAGCAGGAATCTTTAAACCTGTTTCCAGTTTGCATTGATTTATGAAAATTGTATGTTAATCTGGATACTGATTTTTTTTAAAAAAAGATCAATCAAGTTCTTGGCATTGGAATGACTGTGTCATCTGGCTGATGTGAAAATAATTAAATACAAGAAACGTTGTGACATTTCTCCATGAGAAATAATTGAATAGTTTACTGGTTTATTGGGCTGACACATTTGTTGTTGGAATTTAAATACCCTTTGTTGTGATTAACTCAGATGACTTGGTTTTTTAAACTCTGCCAAAGGCTTCTATATAGATTAAACTTCAAAATGTTCTGTAGAAGAATGGAAATGAGAAGTACCTGTCTAAACAACTGTGCTTTATTATTTGAGACCTGAACTGTCAGAATTAAAACTATAAATGATCAAGTTGTGATCTTTTTGTTTCAGTCCCCTAATTTATCCATTGCTACTTGAGCCTCTCCTAGTATTGAAACATAGATCAGCAATCCAAAATCACAAGTTTTCACAGAGGCTGGTTTAAGTAGATGGTGATTGTTTAAATGGGGGCAGTGGAAGTCCTAGAAATGGCTACAGTATTGTTCAGCAAAATATAAACCAAAAAACCAAAAAAAACCCTCCACAGTATACAAAACCATGCTTTTCATGTATTGTGAAAAGCACTACTGACTTCCTAAGTATTTTCTACCCCAATATTTTATTTTTCCAGTGAGATGGCCTTTTGCTCCTTCAGAGACATTGCTTACCCTGGTGAGAGACGGCAGGTTCTCCTTACTTATGTTTCCTATGCCATGGGGCTTCCTTACCATCACATCTCTGTACTTGCCACATTAAAAAAAAAAAATTTAGCCACTTTCAACAAACTGAAATGATCAGCTGGTAATAGTTTATTGCATTACTTACTGTGTTATCTCTTGGTGCCGTACAGGCTATGCCAACACTTAATGTTCTCTCTCACAGTTCCTGTGGGGAATGTATTTGAAAGTGGCTAACTTAGGTGTGTCTGCTTCTGGGTTCAGCTGGGCTGCAGTCATTTGAAGGCATGACTGGAGTTAGAGGGTCCGCTGCTTAGATAACCCGGTTTACATGCCTGGCAGCTAGCACGGGTTGTTGGCAAAGGTCCTCAATTCCTTGCTGTGTGGGCTACCCTCACAGATAACAACTTGATTTACTTCGAGTGAGGAGTCCTAAAGAAAGCACAGGAAAAGCCACAACATATCTATGATCTAGCCTCAGAAGTCACATTCTACCATTAAATCCATCTGAGCCACCAGGGGAGCCGGTTACTGTTTACAGAGTGGTGACCTATTCATTAAGGGTGAAAATATCAGGAGATGAATATTGTCGGGGCTGTCTTGGAAGTTAGCTGTTACAGTTGTTTAATATCTCGGTGTTTTCTATTTTGGGATAGCAATGTGCAGTTAGAGTGACCATTCTATATATATCGCTTCTCATGAAAACACACCAAAAGAATTTGATAAGCATATAGCTTCCAAATTGCTGGGAATACAGTGATGTGTCATAAAATTGGATTGATTTAGAGTTTACTAATTTGAGAATTTAGGTTAATATAGGAGCCATTTTAAGGATTCTTCTCCAGAACAAATTAATGATAATTTTATTTGGGAAGGGCTTTTGACTAGGGAAGTGGGTATAGAATTAAGAATTATATATTGTTAGAAAACAATTCTTTGATTGTTACATGTTTAGTCCTCTGGGGCTGCTATAACAAAATACCAGAGGCTGAGTAGGCTTATAAATCACAGAAGTTTTTTTTTTTTTTTATAGTTTTGGAGGCTGAGAGTCCAAGATGGGGCTGACAGCATAGTGCAGTGAGGGCTGTCACATGGTGGAAAGGCCTAAAGATCTCTCTGAAGTCCCTTTTATAAGACACTAACCCCATTCTTCAGGGCTTCACTCATGGCTATCTCAAAGGCCACATCTGCTATTAATACTACTATCACTTTTGGGAATTTAGGTTTTAAACATGAATTTTAGATAGGACACAGACATTCAGATGATAGCATTATATAACAAACTTACTGTGAATCTGTAAATTTCATTCAGCTTATCTCATTGTACCTAAAGTCCGTGTTTAAAAAATTCATCACTAGGAATTCACGTTTTTCATTTCCATAGGAAAAAATGTTACATTGTTTTTGGGTTCTTTGAACTGAACTTGTATTCAGTTATTTAAGGTATTAGAGGCTGTTTTTGTTTTGAAAGTTAGAAGGAAATAATACCATTGCAATTTTAGTAACTAAAGAAACCAGGGAACTACAGTCTTGAGTTGGAGGAATTATCTTTAACTGATGTTTAGGAAAATTTTATATAATTTGAGAGAAGGTTGTGTTAGAAATGTATATGTATGCAAATACATAAGTGAATCAAATCTTATTCTTACCCTCACTGACCCCCCCAAAAAAATTTATAAGACTTTTTTTCTTAAAGTGATGTATTAGGTAAATATAATGTTGAGTGTGATTATAGATGATTTTAATTAATTAATTCATGGTAGTTTACAACCTTCTATGAGTCAGTATTGCTGTTCTTGAAGATTTGTCTGAAACTTGATAAGAAAGCATTCCTTTGTTTTTGGGATTGATTGTTCTTTGTGGGTTTATATGCTGCTATAGATAAATATGTGTTAGAAGATTCTGTATAGTTGATCATAGTTCTGTATTATTTTTAGAGTAAATGGGGCAAAATCATTTTTAGAAACAGGGTAGACATTTCCGTTTATGAGTCTTAAAATTGATAAAATGCCATCTGGAACCTGACTAGTTTTAAGATATATCCTTCTCTAAGTTTCAGAGATTCTTGCTGGATTTCTTATTTTTATAATTTTTCTTAATCCAGTGATGTTTTTATATCTATACCAATGTGTTTTATCAATTATTTTAAAGTTTCCTAACTATTATAAGTAGATTTAAGTTCAGCGAATTAAGCCTCACATCAAGAGTCCATACATGATTTATGCTTGTGGAGTTACGGTATAACATAAGATTTGGGTTCTTACTTCAGAATGTTCAGAATTTGGTAGAAGAAACAGCTCATTTATATAAGTCTAAGTAATGGAGATTTTAAAAATTTGTAATTAAATTTTTTTGTGATTTATTTTTACTAGTCAAAACTCAAAGTGTATTTTATCCCAGAGTAAGCTTTAGAATTGAATTGAATTTGGGCGATAATATGTGTGCCGCATCTGATGCTTATGGCTGTCTCACCCCTTGTCTCTCCATATGGGTGGAAAATGCCCTGCTGGAAGATTCTGAGTTGGAAAAAGACGTGCCTTTGGATAGAATGAGGGTCAGAAGTCCTAGGCAAGTTTAACTGGGGCTGTGATGTGTCTTATTTAAAGGGATATCAATGGAGCAGGTGAGGAGGAGGAGGAGAGAATGAGACTAGTGAAATACTAGTGAAATACTAGTGAAATACTGCGATACTGGAAATGAGAAAACCATGGAGCAACAGCTATAAACTGAGAGAAGAGGACTGCAGACCTGAAATCATATATATATATAGGGTCCATGAATGTCAGGGCAGAAAACGAGATACTTTAGAAATGCAAAGAGGTCCACCAACCGTGGACCTCAAATGCTAAAGAATCTACTTGAAGTATTCTACCAGTTGAAAATTGAAGCATGACATAGTTCTGAAAATAAAAGAAGCAAATGACAATAGCAAACAAATGAAGTTTTATAGGAAACCTGTACAGTGTCGTAAGTTGTTAAATCTAAATGGATGGAGTTAATCAGCATCTTTGTTCTGCTTTTATGTTCCTCTCATCCGCGTCCCAGCCCTTTCTCTATTGCCATCTCCCACATACTTCTTTACTATCATTTCAGTGTTTTAGAAGGGAGGTGAGGTAAAAGCACATGCTTAGTCTAACATTTTGATTTAGAAAATCTGTTCTTAAAATGCTACTTCTGGGTTTCCCTGATGGCTCAGTGGTAAAGAATCCACTTGCCAATGCAGGAGACACGGGTTTGACCCATGATCCAGGAAGATCCCAAATGCCTCGGAGCAAGTAAACCTGTATGCCACAACTATTGAGCCTGTGCTCTGGGGCCCACGAGCCACAAATACTGTGTCCACATGCCGCAAATACTGAAGCCCACGCACCCTGGAGCCCGTGCTCCACAATAAGAGAGGTCACCGCAATAAGAAGCCCGCACACTGCAACTAGAGAGTAGCCCCAGTCTTCACAACTAGAAAAAAGCCCGAGCATAGCACTGAAGACCCAGCACAGCCAAAAAAAGATTAATGAAAAAAAATTTTAATGCTATACTTTTCACCACAAAAGGCTGTAAAAAGTTGTTGGTCAGGGGTCTTATTGCAAGCAACAGAAACCAGCTATGCCAGCACATTTAAACAAGAGGAAATTCACTGAGAGAATCCTGAGTGACCCGTAGGATCCTTGGGAAAGCTAGAGAACCAGGCTCAGCTGATTGGCTAAAAACTGTACAAGACTTACTTCTCAGTGACAGTACTATATCTTTATTTAGAAGTAAATTGCCTTTTTCCTCTCTCTTCAAATGTAGGTTATATATTTGGGGAAAACTCCAGAAGAAGCATATAGAATATTAATGTTTGGAGACGCAGCCTATATTCCTTTCAGGTAAATATAAGAACATTATGGTAGATTCATTTAATCAGGCTCTTGCCAGAAATACTGTGGTATGGTTGTTTCTGAAGAAAGAAAACCTGATAATCATTTTGGGGTGGGTTCAAATAACACCATAGATCTAGGTTACTCATCAGTGACGCTATTGACATTTTGTTGGGGTGGGGGGGATTGTTGTATGTACTGTAGGATGTTTAAGAGCATCACTGTTAAACCACTAGATGTCAGGAATGCCTTCACCCCCAGAAAATTAATTGTGAAAACCAAAAATGTCTCCAGACATTGCCAGATGTCTGTGGTGGTGGTGGTAAATTGCTTCTACATGAGAAATCAGAACCACTCCCACTGATGATAATTTGTGCTTTGTAATCAGATGAGAATCTTGGAGGTACAGTCTTCAAAACTACCATTTTCCAGTACTGAGACGTTTTGGCCTTGAGGAGTTAAGAAATAAGTTTTCTCAATAATTAGAAGTTATTTCTGGGCAGAAATGAACCCCCTTTTTCTTGGGACACAGCAAGCAGAAATAGGGTGAGGTTGTTAATATAGTACTGCTACTTAAACCAAAACACCTGTGTCATAAAGGTAATAGATAAGTAATGTTTTTATGTAAGTTAATGACATCCTCATCCTTATCTCAGAGTTACCAGATGATTGTGTTGAAGATATTTTGAGGAAAAAAAGAGAAAAAAACTTGTGTTTTTCCCTTTAAATCAAAGGAAGTTCCAAACGTTTTTCTACTTGTGTATCAAAATGCTTGATTTAGCTCTATAATTAAATACTTGTGCTTAATGTATAGTAATGTGTGAAATAATTTTATTTTTTGCATACAGTATTGAGAATTTCAAATATTGCATCATTCTTCCACCTACAAATTAGTTAATAGTTTCAGGATTGCTGTGTATACCTCAAATGCCTAATTTTGAAGGTGTGGGCTTGCCTTTAAAGGGTAAGATTATGAACCTGACTTAATTGTGGACAAGTCTGGGAATGAGTGTCCCAAATCTTAGGCAGAATCTGTCTCCTTAAATAACTCTGTAGGACTATCTATGGATTTATTCCATGAATTAGAGATTTTTGTTAGGATAGTCTGCAGAGTTCAGTTGTGTATTGCACTAAAGGCTGTATGTATGTTAGTGATTTAGCCAATAGAGGAATTGCTTTGGACCCAGCATCACTGCCTTTCTTCTTAGCTTGTGCATCATCTTAAATATTCTTTGAGATGAGTAGGAAGGGATGAAGGTTATTTTCTAAGCTGAAGAGTGCTCATATTTCTTCTCAACTTATAACAGCAACCATGTACCTCCTTCAGAAGAAGTGATTCTGGTTCCTGAATCATAGATATATTGATATAGTGATAATTTTGTTGTACAGAACTTTTCTTTATAATAGTAATCCTTTACTGTGCCATTCTTAAAGTTTATAAGACAAGATCCTAAAACAGGAATAAGCTTACACATTTCGCATAATTTAAGTAAGGATCCATGAAACATTATTGATGTAAGGGAAGTTTTACATTAATTTAAATACAGGGGTCAAAATAGAATAAATGTTGTTTACTGCTGTACCTGTGTTTAAAATTATTAAAGTTTGGCATTAAGAAATGTAGTTAGTTGCTTCTGGTTCCAGGAACAAAGATCAGTAATTCTCTAAAAAACCGGACTTCGCCAAAATCAGTTCAGGTTTGTGAAATTTTAATCTCTTCATTCATAGATATCATACTTTGGATTTATCTAAAACATTGTTTCTCCAGATGTGGTCTGTGAACTTTTTGTTACCAGCTTGTGTTGAGTACAGGGATAGAGAGTCAGATTTTACAGACATTTTTAATAGAGTATGTCTATGTCTGTGGAATCTAATAGTAGGAGAATTTAGGCTTGTATTTATGTGTTTTTCACTTTCATTTTTCTAATAATTCAGTTTTATTTAAAAAAATAAGATGATTGCATAATCATTGGTATGTAATAGTACAATATTACTGTATTTCACAAAAGTATCATCCTTTGACAGATTTAAAAATCTGTGCCTCACCACATTTTACTGTTCTAAAGAACTTACTAATTGAAAGTAAGCAAATCAGAGTGAATAAAACTGGATAATATTTTGACAAAAATTATAGTATAGTCTTTTATCTTTGCCATTGCAAGAGCACAGAACAACTACAGCCGTTAACAAAGTGTCGCTAACAGGGAACTGTGAGAATAACATTCATTCATAGTTAATTACTTCTTTTATGCTCCATAGCGATATTTAATTAGATTTAACTTAACTTACACATAATTCTTCAACCACTGAATTTTAAAATGTATGTATACATATGTATATAATCTCTTAATGAATTATATTAGATGTTTTCCTGCCTGTCTAAATTAAAAAACAGTATAAAATATAGTTCAATGTTTTTTTAAAACCTTTGATCATAGTTATGAAGAGCATGGGCATCTCCTCTTTGGTATTACCTATAATACTCCTTGCTTCTTAATTGACTTTTTTTTTTGTCTCTGTTCTTTATTTTCTTGAGAGGTAATATTGCAGAGCTGCCAATAGCTTGGCTATTGACCTCAGACAGATGAGAGTTTGAGTCTCAGTTCTGCAACTAATATCTCTGTGGTTCTGCACAAATACAAGGCTTGGTTTCTTAGTCTATAAATGGGAATGATAGTAATATCATCCTAATGAAGTATGAGGATTAAGTAACATCCTGCATATGAAACTCTTGGTGCCTGAGCCCTAGCTAACGTTTGTTAAACATTCATGTTTTTTTCCTTTTTAAATCCATGTATAACTTAAACACAATTAAAAACTCCGTGACTCTTATTGTACAGCACAGTACACTTATATATTTGTATATGTAGGCACCATCCTTTCAAGACACAGACGAGACTGACACATTGTCAGTCCCCATAAAGATTCCCTTTTATTATCCCTTTTCCAAAAGTGTTTCTTATTTTTGAGCTTTGTGTAAATGAAATTATGGAGTATACATTTTTGGAGAACTGGGATCTAGTTTTTTAAATATATATTGTCTGTGAGGTTTATCCTTGTGGTGGCAGGTTAGTGGTTGTCCTATTTTTACTGCTTTTGTAGCCTTCCTTTCTCTGAATGTACCACATTTTATTTGTCCATTTTCCTTTTGATGGATACTTCGTTTATTTGCAGTTTTTGACTGTTATGAGTATAATCTACTATGAAAATTGTTATCTTTTTAAACTAGTATTTGACATCATTTTGTTGTTTCTAAGCAATATCCTTTATTGATTCTCATCTGCTTTTCCAAGTTTGTTAAATGATCTATGACAAGCTTTCACCCCACAAAGGCTTATATCCAGATTGATAGCTGCTATTATGCCATTTTGAAGAAGTCTAATTGCTTGGGTGGGAGGAAGGAGATGTGGGTGTGTTTAAAGTTGGAAGTGTTAATGAAATAAACATGAGTGAATAAAGAAAGAGCCTTGTCTATTCCAATAATATGGCAGAACTTTATCCAAGCTCAGATCAAAGCTCGATTAGAGCAGGACTTGGCCCTCAGGAGGTTATTCACAATTATGCATTGAATAAACACTCAAATTTCACAAAAACTGAATCAACATGCCTGTAACTTGATTGGAAAAGAATTATCAGTAAGTTAACAATCATAGCTAACTGAAGAGAAATGGTGAAAAACATTGGGATGTGATCTGAGGGTTCATTGTCTTTCTACTGATAATTTAGATTTTGATTTAGACTAAACTTCACTTTCCTACCTTAGCTTCTCTATCTTAAAAACATTCCTTATTCCATAAAACAGTTATTTGTACAGAACATTATGTGTGCTCATGTAAGTCAGTGGTTCTTAAACTCCTGGAGAACCCAGCCTCACCCCTAGAACTCTGACTCACAGGTCTGGGGTAGAGGTTGAGAACTAAATTTCTAACAAGTGAGGCTGATGTTGCTGCTGCTTGCCGAGGTAGCACACCCTGAGAACTAAGCTGCAGGTCATTCTGTTTTTCTCCTTCCTGAAGATTACCAGTAAGCTATTGGTAAAGATCATTTTCTTGGTCACACTGAAACCTTTTCTAGCTTCTGGAAGATCAGCTTTTAAACTCAGAAGCTTATAGAACACAAATGGCATGTTGTATATACTCGTGTCCAGTCCTCAAGAAGGCTAACATGTATTGCAATAATTCTAACAAATTCAGACAGTAATGTCTAAAGCTGTCTTAGCTAAAAAGGATACCCTTTTCTTTAATGTTAGTATAATAGTCTATATTCTTAAAGTTTGTACAAAAATTAAACATTTTAAATGTACAGTTTGATTTTTTCAGGTAAGTAAATTACTGTGCGAAAACCCAGCCAAGGCAGGCAATTCATTATAGCTCCAATAGCAACCTGGTTCCACATAAGAACCAAATGATACCACTCCGATTAGGCATAGTTGTTTGGCATGCCTAGAATGATCATAATTAATTTTTATCTTGCTTAATTCTTAAAATTTTCACTTTGTAATGCAATGACTCAAGGGAGACAAAAGGGAGAAGCAGGTGGGAATGGAGGAGTACCTTATTTTTCTGGACAAAGTCTTAACTGAGGCTGAGACTTGTGTCGCTCATCTTGTGTGAGATTACTGACAGGTATTGGTATAGTATTGAGTGGGGCTGTCTACGTAACCGTTTAAGCACTTTTCCCAAGTGTAGAGTGACTCTAGTAATAGTAGTTGACTCATTAGTTTCTGTGGTTTTATTGGTACTCTTGTCCTTTAAGAACCTGAAAAAAATTATCCAGTTAAATTGTTAAAAGTCATAAAAGCATAATGAGAGAAGCAAAATACTCTTTAGCTTGCACCTGTTATTTCAAATACTATCTTGATCTCCAAATTTTTTTGCTACGTGGGTGTAGATACACATACAACATGTACGTACAGAATCAAAAAGCAGTCTTTCCTGCTAACAATTTGACATGGTATTTGAAGAACAAATTCAAATATCTTATCTTTTTGAGAGGAGGAGTACATACTATGGAGAAGTTGAACTCAAAAAGGAACTTTTGAAGGTGAACTATTAAAGCCAAGAACAGTCTAGAGAGATCATTTGAAATTTAGAATGTGGTCATTATTGATCCACATCTATAAAACAGTATCTACTGGAATAGGTAGAATGTACAATGAATGTACAATAGGTAGAATGTACAATGTGTAACAGTGACTTATCCTTTATTTAAAAACCAAAAGGCAAGAATTCTTTTTTTTTCTTTTGAGACTGAATATGTGTTTGATTTTCAATCAGCTTTGTCTTGAGATAAGTGTACAACAGAAAATTAAGTTAACTGAGCTGTGTATTTCAATACTTTTGGAATTTCAGAGATGCTGCCTATGGAAGTTGCAATTTCTTCATCACACTTCTTGACTGTTTTTATGCAGTGAAGAAGGTAAGTGACTTATAGGATGAGCCTAGTGTTGTGCTGGAGAGCTTAAATACAGAGCAAGGAAGAAAGGCCTTCTCCAAAGACCTTCTAAGATGTGTATGATGTCAGAGGTGTCCCATTTCCCTGCCAACATTAGAATGACACTAAACTAGAAAACAGATTATTCTGAATCTGAGTGCTTCTCTGTGTGAGTTGGGGGAAAAGCCACTTGAACACAGGGGACGTTAAGAAACAGTTATGTAATTAGGTTCTAAATTCAGAATTGATTTTGAATGCGTTGTGATGTCAAAGAAAAACAAAAAGTAAATAGATTACTGGTTTCTAAATTCTCTTTATGTATTTTATGAGTCTGATTGCCACCAATTCTGTTTACAGCAGATATTTCTGTAACACACTGTTATACACTTTGTTGCTGTATCTTCAAGAATTTAATTTCTAGTTCAACAGAAGTATTTGAATATCCCATTAGTTTGTTACTAAAAACCCACTAAAAACTAAGTGGGTCATTACTGCTTTCTCAAAGCTATTTAAAAATAACTCCTGTGTTTTATAACGAGGGCTACTTGCTCTCTTTGACTTCAGGGAATAACTTCTATCACATTCTAAATGAATAGGGTCCTCTGGAATCAGGTGATGCAGCGGACCCTGGTTAAAACACTCGCTCCCTCCAGTGTAGTTTTTGAATATCAGGACAGTGCAGGAAACTAGAATTGTTAATCAGTAGCCCTTGGATCAAATAAACTTTCAGCAACCTCTAAAGCTTTGTGTGACTTGTATTTTCAGAGGGAGAAGGAACCCAAGTTTACTGTCTTGTATGATGAAACATGGTAGCTTTCTGAGAATTTTGACTGAAATTTTATGGGTTAAGCTAAGAGACCTAGTTAGGATACAGATTCAGAGGTTAATTAGTATACGTTTTGTCCTGTAATAAGGCAGTGAGGATGGACCTTAATTTTGGGGATTTGAGTCGAGCGACTCTGTGGTGTAAGGGGCTGATGGAGGTTGCCACACACTCTGAGAGAGTTCCATGAGGCCTCAATTTAGGCACTTAATGGGCAGAGGATGCCATCAGGAGATGGAGGGACAGTAGGTATAAGTGACCCCTCCCAGTTATAGGTAACAGTCCTTGCCAGTTGGACCCTAGGAAGTTGCTAATGCAGGCAGGCATACTTCTCCTTGATCCTAGGATCCTAGGACTCCCTTCTCTGCAGTCCTACAACCTTATATATTTGGGAAAATAAGAAGAAAAAACACTTATGAGGGCGTTGGTGATGATATATTATAACATTGGCTTTGTGTTTTTTTAAAATCAGACACTATATACAAAGTTTAATCAGCTGTAACTATAGATCAAAGATTGCTTTTTTTCATACTGCATTTTAATTTTTTTGAGACAACAGCTTCTGATTTTCCCATTTAAAGATTTTTATTTGTGACTTGATTTTGAATATTATTGTTTGAAATATTTATAAATATAATAATTATATCTTGATTTTAGTGCTACTTTTTAAAAAAAATACTATAATAAGATCTCCTTATGAAATTCAAAGACTAGAAATCCCCTGCAGACTGATAACTTTTTATTGTATCATTCTGTTAGGAACAGCTCTAGTCCAAATATGATATATATTGTTTCAAATTCAAAAGATAAAAAATTCATCTTAGATTTAGTCTTGGAATTAGGATTTAAACAACTATATTTTATAAAATATAATCTTTGTTGTTGTTTGGTTTTGTAACCTTATTTCTCATCATATTTCAGTAGTTTATATTTTGCACACTGGTTTTGCAGAATCACCCCTTTTCAACCGAGAATAACTTCTTGAGCAAGAATTGTTACTTATGTACTGTCTGTCTTAGTAAGCAGGGAGAATGGTTGTCAGGCCACCAGATTGTCCTTGTCTCAGAATATAGTTACTCTGCTTACTTTGCTTAGCATAGTCTTTTTACTGCAACTCAGAGTGAGGCTACAGAAAGGAAAATTCATGTTTTTTTTCCTTATTGAAAAAGTTTTTTCCCCTCAAAAAATTTGAATTTTAGTGTTTGTCTCAGGGCTGCCTTTAGTATAGGAGACACTGATCTTTTAATTCAAGACTGTTCAGAAGAATTTGAAAGTGAAGATATGTATAAAGTGTGATATTTGTTTGATATAAACTAACCCATGGTTTCTTCCCTTTGTTATTATTTGTTTAGCAACCATTGGGTTATGCATTATATTTGAAGCCTGAATGGTGTTCATCTAATAAACTAGTAGGATTACTTTGAAGGCTTGATAATTTATATCTTGCATGGATAGGATGATTAGTGAAGGAAAATGAAAAAGATACTCTTCATTAAAATATATATTGTTGTAACTGATTTTTCTGATGATGGACACATTAAAAGACATAGTCCACCTCCTTTGAAAGCTGTTCCATGGAACATAATCTAAATACAGTGCTTTTCAAGGGTACCTTCTGATACTTACTATTAAGAATTTGGATTGAAAATTGTTTCCTTATTTGCATCTTTATTCTTAAAAAACTTCCCTTTGGATTTTAGGCAATGCAGTATGGCTTCTTTAATTTCAACTCATTTAACCTGGATGAATATGAATACTATGAAGTAAGTTTTCAAGGATATTGTTTTTAACTCTTTTTATATATATGTTTTACTTCCAGAAGTAATATTCTTAATTTTTGAAAAAAAATTGAACAATTTAGATGTATATAGAGTTAAAGTCATCTTTCTCTTACTTCTGTTTCTGCAGTCCTAGTTCTTACTGATTTTTTGCACTTGTTACATCCTTTTGGAGTAAGTGTGCTCCTCGGCATTTTTAATTTTTAGTTAAAAATTTTTTGTAAGTATTGATGACTTTTATAGAATGAATTAAATGAGATAATGTTTATGAAATCCTTAGCATAGGATCTGATTAAATGAATAGCCAGTATACATCTAATTATCTCCGGAAAACACATATTTTTGTCAGAACCTTTTGTTTATATGAAGTTAAGTCATTTTTGGAAGCAAATTACAAAAAGTAAACACAAATGGCTTAAATAAAGTGGGGAAATTTATTTGTTTACATAAACAAAATGTCCAGGAGCAAGTGTAACTTCATGCATACCAGATTCAGGTATACAAACACTTACCAGAAATTGAGCTGAAACCAGTTTTGTTTCAAGGCCAGTTCTCCCCAGTTCTTATTTATAAGCAGCAACTATATAAGAATTTTCCTGGGTAAAATAACCGAATTACTTAGGTATAGTTTGAATGGCAGCAGCAGTCAGCTCTATTTTCCAAAGGCTGACTATTGTCAGCCCCCACCCGCCCCTGCCAAAAAAAGGCTATTAAATGAAAGTTATTAGGAACAAAAGTTACCTAAATATAATGTCTGTTGGATAAAGATGGCTGCCATCAGCTTTGATTTACCCTTTTGGTTTACTTAGCGTACTGGAAAAGAATGTTCATAGCTCCAGCAGAAGACTCACCGGTTCCTCTCATTGGCTTGGCAGAGATCATGTCTCTGCCCCTGAACCAAGCTGTGATTTTGGTGAGGGTAGTAGATGAGTGGGTGCAGAATACTTCGGTCATCCCAGGAGCTGAAATTGGGTCAGCCCTATCAAATCATACCGACCAAAAAGAAGGGTGGTACACAGGGAGGAGAGAAACAGGCAAAACCACAGATGTCCTTTATGGTTTTTTGCGGTAGTGTATTTTTTTTAAAGAATGAGTAATTTGGTTCTCCCATTCTACCCTCCAAGTAGATAATGAATAAGATGTTACGCTAAATGTCTTTTTCAGCCAAGAATACTTGTGGAATCTTGGTTTGTTTTTGTTTTTTTTTTTTCTATCCTGCTGTAGTTATCTTGAGCAGACAGTCTCACTAATAATGGAGTGATTCCACAGACAACACTCTATTCAGCAGCATCTTAAAAACTCAGATAACTGTTCTTTCACAATTTCTAAAGTAGCTATTATTTTAAACTCCTAGGTATAATTGAACTATTTTATTGATGAATTGGGTTAATAGGTACTGCTGATCATTATTGTGATGTACCAAAGATGTAAAAGCATATTGTGTGATTAGGCCAACTCTGCCTTTACTTCTCTGTAATAGCTATACGTTTATAAAGTACAATATACATTTACCATCTTAATTACTGAATATAGTTGAATTATTAACACCATTTTTTGTACTTCCCCTTATGAAAATTGAGCGACTTTCACTTTATCAAAATTAAACACATAAAATAAAATATACTTTCTCTTTTTAGATAAGCAAAACTAAGAAAAACACCAGTTAGTGTTCCCTCACTGTTACTTGTTTTTTACTAAGGAGTAATTATAAGTGCTAATTAGCTTCCTTCTCACCAACGCAGAAATTGCAGCATGAGGTAGAGTAGTAGGGTCACCAACAAATGTCATTTACTTAGAAATTGCATTGAGACACGGGGAAGTGTTAAGTAGCTACAGACCATAATGGTAGTTTTGTTTAGTCTCTGTGAAAGTGAAAGTCGCTCAGTCACGTCCAACTCTGTGAGTCCGTGGAGTTCTCCAGGCCACTGGAGTGGGTAGCCATTCCCTTCTTCAAGAGATCTTCCCAACCCAGGGATCAAACCCCGGTCTCCTTCATTGCAGGCTGATTCTTCACCAGCTGAGCCGCCAGGGAAGCCTTTAATCTCTCTATTTAGAAATTTTGAATTGGTGGTTTTCATTGATTCCATGAGGCCCATTTTTTCCTGTTTTAACTTTTCTGAATTCAGGATGCATCTTACAGTATATGATGCCTGTGATTCAATGAAATCTAGTCACATTTCTCATTTTAAAACTCTGATTTTACTTCAAAGTCAGAACATCTGGCAATGCTTGTCCTCATTCTGACTTACATCTTTTAGCCTGAAATGAATATGGGCTCATCAGTTCCCTTAACTTATAAATAAGTCAGATAAATCAGTTTTGGATTACTTGCCTGACCTGTAGATTTTAAGGCAACTCTTGATTTTTTTCTTGCCTATTCTTAGGTAGAGGAAAACATACTCCAATTGTAAAACTGATTGAACTTGTGTTTATGTTCTCTCCTTCCCCACTATCAACTGTCTCCTACTTTCTGCCTAAGTCTTTTTGTAGCCACCTCTATTGTTATTAAAGTTGAACCTTATCTTGGAATAATTGTGTGATTCAATCCAAAAGACTTGATAACAGGAAGTCAAGTGTTTTAAATGTCAGTTTAGATGTGATCTCTGTATTCTTGTGATTTTAAGTTTTCTGGTGACTTTTAGTAAAAAGTTTTCATTGATTTCTCTAAATAAATAGGCAGCAAAACAATGGAAAGGTGCCTCTGTAGAAATAAAAAGTAAATATTTGAGAAACCAGGACCCTAAATTGATTTTTTTTTTCCTGTATTTACGAAGTCAAGATTACTCACATTGGAAGCCAATTAGTAATTCAGGAAAACAGGGATGTTTCCATATCCCTCATGATAGAAAATTTGGTTTTTTTACTGATTAGCAATTACATAAGAATTTACTTGGATAAAATAAAGTATTTAGGCATAGTCTGGATAGCAGCAGCAGTCAGCTGTATTTTCCAGAGGCTGACTATTGTAGGAAAAAAAAAAATGCTGTTAAGTGAAAGTTAATTAGGACCAGAAGTTAACTAACTATAGTTGTCTCTTGGTATCCATGGGTGATTGGTCCCAGGACTCACTGTTGGTATCAGAATCCACAGATGTTCAAGTCTCATAGTCAGCCTTCCAAATCCACAGATGCAAAACCCACAGATATTGAGGGCTGACTGTATTCCCTGGGAGTATTCATAGCAGGATAAATTTTAGTTTCCTGTCTCATGGTCATTTGTAAACAGCTTTTGTGCTAAAGGAAATGGATTTGAAGTCCTTAAGATACTCACTATTGAAAGGGACATGGAGAGGAGATTAAATATAAAAATGAATTGTGCTGATCTTCCCCTTGCAGAAAGCAGAAAATGGAGATTTAAATTGGATAATACCAGACCGATTTCTTGCCTTCTGTGGACCTCATTCAAGAACCAGACTTGAAAGTGGTATGCGAAAATGAGTCCAGTATAGTTTTGTTATTAAGAGTATCCATCCGGTATTTTCTTTTAAAAGAAGCCGAAACTCTGCTCTCTTAATTAAGTGTACTCTTGAACATTTTATCTCATCATTCTACCTGGATTTTAATTTTTAAATTTATTTTTTTCATAGTTATAATCAAATTGGTATTCAATCCCCAGTCCAGATACTGTTTCCATGCAGTTACAAGTGATACTGTTATCCATTGTTTCCTTTCTGCATTTTACAACATCTGGTGAATTTCTTTATGTAGGTTACCATCAGCATTCTCCTGAGGCTTATATTCCATATTTTAAGAATCACAACGTTACTACAGTTATTCGTCTGAATAAAAGGATGTATGATGCCAAACGCTTTACAAATGCCGGTTTCGATCACTATGATCTTTTCTTTGCGGATGGCAGCACCCCTACTGATGCCATCGTTAAAGAATTTCTGGATATTTGTGAAAATGCAGAGGGTGCCATTGCAGTACATTGTAAAGGTATGTTTCTAGTGTTGTTTAAAGAGTGGTGGACATGTATGTGTGTGTGTGTATAAACACACCATACTCATTTAGATTATATGCAAGGACACATGAAGATACCTTTCTTTTAAAGAATGCTTTTTTTCCTTTTGTGTTTTGCTTTTTTTCTTAAAACTACTTTATTGCAGTATTGGCATAAGAAAGCTGTACATGTAAAGAATGCCTTTATTTATTTATTTTGGCTGCTCTCAGTCTTTGTTGCAGCGTGCAGGCTTCTCTCCAGTTGTGGCATGTGGGTTCTCTAGTTGTGTGTGGGCTCTCTAGTTGTGATGTGCAGGCTATGGAGCTCACAGGCCCAGTAGTTGTGGCTTGCGGGCTTAGTTGCCCTGTGATATGTGGGATCTTAGCTCTCCAACCAGGGATCAAACCCACATACCCTGCATGGGAAAGTGGATTCTTAACTACTGGACAACCAGGGAAGTCCCAAAGAATGCTTTTAAATCCCCGATTTCATATGGAAAGTATAATAAATTAAGTTGTATTCATGGGTAACCCTACAAAGCCTTGTCACATTCATTTATTCATTAAATGTCTATTCAGTGCCTACTTTGGTATGTTCTGGCATATGTCCATGAGCAGAGCAAACTCTTAAGAGCTTATCTTTTGGACTTTGTTTTCTAACAAGTTGCTAGATTTTCAATAACTAGAACAGTGCCTGGTACTTAATAAGTATTTATTGAATGAGTGTGTGGATATACTAGGATTTGTTAAACTTTTCTTCTTTGGTTTTTCAACTAAGAAGACAAGGAATATATTTTTATTAAGAAAAATCAAACACTGGGGAAAAGAAAAATTAAACAGCAAACCCTGGAGCACATAAGAAGTCTAATTACTGGAGTTCCCACATTATCAGATTCAAATTTTCAGTTTTCACTGAAAATTCAGTTTTCACCAAAAAATCTCAAGGACTGCCAAGAAACATGAAAGGATAGCTCATTCAAAGGAAAAAAATGAATCAACGGACACTGTCCCAAAGAAAGACCAGAGGGTGAACTTATTAGACAAATGTGTTAAAACAACTGTATTTTGTTGTTGTTGTTGCCACATGGCATGGGAGTATCCCTGATCAGGGATTGAACCTATGCCCCCTGCAGTGGAGGCATGGAGTCTTAACCAGTGGACTGACAGAGAACTCCTAAAACAACTGTCTAAAGGTGCTCAAAGAGCTAAAAGAAAATGTGCACAAAGTCAAGAAAACAATGTATGAATCAAAATATCAACAGGAGAGACAAAGCATTAAAAGGAAAAAGGAAATTCTGGAACTGAAATGAAAAATTTACTGATGAGATTCACAAGCAGACAAGCAGGCAGAAGGAAGAATCAGCAAACTTAAAGATAGAATAGTTGAAATGATCAGGTCTGAGGAACAAAAAAAAAAAGACTGAAATGGGAACCAAGCCTAAGGGAACTTTGAGACACCATGAAGTAAGCCAGTGTATAGATTTTGGGAATGCCAAAGGGACAAGAGAAAGAAACAGGGAGATTATTTGAAGAATTAATGGCTGGGAACTTCCCAAATGTGATTAAAGACATGAATGTAAATATCACAGAGCCCAGCAAACTCCAAGCATGAAAAACTCAGACCTACATCAAGATGCAGTCAGTCAGTCAATTAATCTAAAGCCAGAGACAAAGAGAACCCTGAAAGTAACAGAAGAGAATCAACTTATGACATACAAGGGATCCCAGTAAGATTATCAGTGTATTTCTCATCAGAGACTTTGGAGGCCAGAGGACAGTAGGTTGCTATGTTTAAAGTGCTGAAGGAAAAAGAGTGTCAACCATAAATCTTATGTCTGTCACAACTGTCCTTCAAAAATGATGGAGAAATTAAGATATCCCTAGATCACTAAAAGCTGAGGGAATTTGCTGCTACTAGGCTTGCCTTGCAGGAAATGGTAAAGGTTGAATGAAAGGACTCTAGACAGTCACTCATTGCTGTATAAAGAAATTAAAATCTCTGTGAAAGTAAGTACATGAACAGTTATAAAGGCTATTACTATTGTAACTTTGGTTGTAAACGCTCCAATCAAAAGGCAGAAATTGGAAGAATGGCTTAAAAAAATAATCTAGCTATATGCTATCTAAAAGATACTGTTTAGATTCAAAGACACAAAGAGGTTTAATGTGAAAGGATGAAAAATTTCATGTAGATTGTAACCAAAAAAGAGAGGTGATTGTCAGACAAAATAGACTTTAAAGCAAGAAAGATTACAAGAGACTAGAACGTTGTATATTAACAAAGGTTTCAGTAGAGCAAGAATATCTATACATATATATATATTTAACAATTATAAACTTTTTTACATGCCTAATAACAGATGTTCAAAATACAAGAGGGAAAAATTGACAGACTTGAAGGAGAAAACAGTTGTACTATAATAGTTGGAAATTTAAATATCCCATCTTCAGCAATGGTTGGGACAGTCAGAAGATAAGGAAATAGAGGACTTGAACAGCACAACAAACCATCTATATCTAACAGACTTATACAGAACTCTTTGCCCACGAACCACCAGAATATAGTTTATCTCAAGTACACTTGGGACATAGTAGTAGTGATTGCACAGCAGTGTTAATTTGTTAATGATGCTGTCTCTGCATTTTAAAATGGTTAAAATAACCACCAGAAACTGACCCCAAAGAGACATAGATCTTTGGATTAAAAAAATTTTAAATGGCTATCTTAAAAATGCTCCATGAGCTCTTTTGCTTAGGTCTGTGGTGCCGGCAGGATGGACACGTGTTGCAGTCTTCATGTTGCTGGGAAGCTCCATAGCCATCACAAGTGGCATGATACACAGTCCAAGAAAGCCTATTAGGACCGAAGGCCAGTCCTTTTGGAGGCACTTCTCATGCAAAGGGCATTGTGACGAAGAAGTAGGGGTTGAAGCCAAATTCTGCCATCAGGAAGTGTATCAGGTTTAGCAAATCAAGAATGACAAAAGAATCACAGCCTCTGTTGTTTGAATGTTTCTGAGGAAAATGATGAAGTTCTGGTTGCTGGATTTGGTTGCAAAGGTCATGCTGTTGGTGACATTCCTGGAATGGGCCTTAAGGTTGTCAAAGTAGCCAGTGTCTCTCTTTTGGTGTTATACAAAAGGCTAAAAGGAAAGATCAAGATCATAAGTTTTGATGGTGAAATCATGATAGCAATAAGTTTTCATATCACCTACCCCAAAAGAAACCTCAGTGAGCTAAACAGAATCATAGAGAAGTAATTGAAATCAGGAAAATGATTCATAAACAAAAATCTGTTCAAATGGTAAAGTTTATATTAGGCATATTTTGCCAGAATCTAAACAATAAAACAAAATCCAACTTTAGTTATTTCATTTTTTCCAATTATAATAAGCAGTTGAGGTGATTTTCAGCTGAAATACACAGGATAACCACCACAATAAAGAATTATCTCACCCCAAATGTCAGTAGTGCTGAGGTTGGGAAACTCTGAAGTTCACTGCTGACCAGTTAAAAATCTGAAGAGGATTTGATATGATAAGATCTTTGGTGAAGAAAACTGATGATGGTGTGAAGGTTGGATTATCAAGGGAAAAGTAAGATTCACTGGGCAGTGTATTGATTTGCTCCAAGTACTATAACAGATTACTAAACAACAAAAAATTTATTTTCTTATAATTTGAGAGTTGCCTGACTAGCTCAGTCAGTAGAGCATGAGACTTACTTTCTCACAGTTTTAGAGGCTAGAAGTTGAAGATGAAGGTGCTGATTTCTGATGAGGCCTTTCTTCCTGGCTTATAGCCAGCTGCCTTTTCTTTGTCCTCTTCATATAGTCAGTCCTGGTATCTCTTCCTCTCTCATGAGAAAGGACACAAGTCCTGTTGGATTAGGTGCCCCTCTCACTCCATGACCTTAGTTAACCTTAATTTCCTCTGCAAAGGCCCTTTTTCTGGAAACAGCCTCACTGGGAATTAAGGACTTCAACATCTGGATTTGGGGAGGCACAGTTTAGTCTAAAACATTCTGTTCTCTGGGCACTCAGTATTCATTTAAGGTAAAATGCATTCGCTCTTTCCCAACAGTCCCCGAAGTCTTAACCCATTACAGTATCAATTCCACATGTAAAGTCTCATCTAAATATCTCCTGAATCATGATTGACACTTCAGGTATGATTTATCCTGAGGCAAATTCCTCTCTGCCTGTGAGCCTCTGAAACCAGACAAGTTATGTACTTATAAAGTAAAATAATGTAATGGGCATAGAATAGATATTCCTATTCCAATGAGAGAAATCGGAAAGTAGTGACAGGTCCCAGGCAAGTTCAGATCCTAGCAAAGCAAATGCCTTTGGATCTTTAGGCTCTTTAGCTCCTTTCTCTGTTCAACAGGTCCACTGGGATGACAGTACCATCCCCTCAGGCCCAAGGTGGCGGCCCTGCCCCTGTGGCTATGGGCAGGGGCAGCCTGCCCTGCTGAAACTATGCAGGAGGCCCTGCCCTATGAAACCTAGGAGTAGACAGCCTTGACCTCTGGGCCTGTGGTTGTGTTGGCAGCCAGGCTGACCTCTGCATCACCCTTTAGAGTCATACTAACCTTCTCTTGAAGGATGGGCCTTATTTGCAACCAGTTACTTCTGTTGTCTAGTCCTATGGAATCCCTGAAACCTAAAAAAAAAAAAGCCTTCTTTTATTTCATCCTGTTTAGCCCTATTTCATCCTCCCCTTTAGTCCAAACTGGCAGTGTGTCTTCTACTGTAATCCTATAAGTGTTTTTGGCTTCTGCTGAGACAGCTTTTAATTACCCATGATTAAATCCATGGGTAATATTGTTATGAAATTTATTTGCTTGGTATCCAGAATACACTTTCTCTCTTTTTTCAGATTGACTAGGCCTAGAGTTTTCTAAATGTTTAGTCTCTCATTCCTTTTTGTTTAACAATTACTTCTTCGATTCATCTCTCTCTCTTCATGTCAGTCAGGAGAAACCAGGCTGGACCTTCAGCGCTTTGCTTATGAATTTAAATCTACTGTGTTAAATGCCCAAGGGCGTCACTCAGAAGTTCTGTTTCCCACAAAGCATTAGAACACAATTCAGCCAGGTGGTTTCTGGGTTTTTTTGGCCACTTTCTAATAAGGATTGCCTTTCTTTCCATTTCCACGTGAGTCTGCACTGGAATCTCCATTAATGTCCATTTTCCTCCTACCAATAGTCTCTTCAAGGCAGTCTAGGTTTTTTCTATTATGTGCCTTAAAACTCTCCTGGTCTTTACAGTCCCAATGCCAAAGTCACTTCTACATTTTTACATAGTGTTTGAGTAGTATGCCACTTCACAGTACCAAAATCTGTGTTAGTTTGAGTTTCCCAGAGAAATAGAGCTAGTAGGATATGTACATATAGAGAAGGAGATTTATTATAAGGAACTGGCTTATGGGAATATATAGGCTGGTGAGTATAAAAGCTGCAGTGTGGACTGGCAGACTGGAGACCCAGGAGAGCCAGTGGTGCAGTTGAAGTCCAAAGCCTGTCTGGTAGAAAATTCTCTCTAACTTTGTTGTTGTTCAGTGGCTCAGTCATGTTCGACTCTTTGCAACCCCATGGACTGCAGCACGCCAGGCCTCCCTGTCCTTCACCATCTCCCGGAGTTTGCTCCAGCTCATGTCCTTTGAATTAGTGATGCCATTTAACCATCTCATCCTCTGTTGCCCCCTTCTTCTTCTGCCTTCAGTCTTTCCCAGCATCAGGGTCTTTTCCTGAGTCGGCTCTTCACATCAACTGGCCAAAGTATTGGGGCTTCAGCTTCAGCATCAGTCCTTCCAATGAACATTCAGGACTGATCTCCTTTAGGGTTGACTGGTTTGATCTCCTCGCAGTCCAAGGGACTCTCAAGAGTCTTCTCCAACAGCAGAGTTCAAAAGCATCAATTCTTTGGCACTCGACCTTTTTTATAGTCCAACTCTCACATCCATACATGACCACTGGAAAAACCATAGCTTTGACTATACACACCTTTGTTGGCAAAGTCTCTGCTTTGGGAGGTGGATGTTTTGTTCTTTTCAGACTTGCAACTGATTGGATGAGGCCTACCCACAGTATGGAGGGCAGTCAGCTCACTCAGAGTCTGCCAATCTCATCCAGCTACACCTGCCAGATTGACACTTAGAATTAATCATCACAGGAGGTAATGATACTAGTCTAGATGAGAGTAAAGAAGGACAACAGGAATAGAGTGGGGTGGTGGGGGAGTCCATGTGCAAATATGTATAAAAGTGGAGTAGAAAAAAATGTTGGATGAGGGAGAAAGTACAAGATTTTAAGCTTATATTTTTAGAAAGATGATGGTATTATTAACTGAAAACCCAGAGTATAAAACAGTGTTACTGAGAATTATCTCTTAGAAAGTGGATTTCAGTCTTGGTTAAACATAGAGTCGTGGGCGACTTTTAGGAATCTCTGTTCTAGGCTGCATCACATACCAATTAAAGCTCTCTCCTTGGTTGTACTGTACATGAAAACATGAGAAGCACTGTTGAGGGGAGCAGAATCCTGGGAAGCTTTTAAAAAAATTCTACCTGCCCAACAAAAGTCTAGAGCAGATGAGACCAGGTCTCATTGGTTTGTTTCTTTTCTAAGCTGGCCTTGGACGGACAGGCACTTTGATAGCCTGCTACATCATGAAGCATTACAGGATGACAGCAACCGAGACCATTGCTTGGGTCAGAATCTGCAGACCTGGCTCGGTGATTGGACCACAGCAGCAATTTTTGATGATGTAAGTGGATGGAAGTGAAAGTGAAAGTCACTCAATCGTGTCCAACTCTTTGTGACCCCATGGACTATACAGTCCATGTAATTCTCCAAGCCAGAATACTGGAGTGGGTAGCCCTTCCTTTCTCCAAGGGGATCTTCCCAACCCAGGGATTGAACTCAGGTCTTCCGCATTGCAGGTGGTTTCTTTACCAGCTGAGCCACAAGGAAGCCCATGAATTCTAGAGTGGGTAGCCTGTCCCATCTCCAGTGGATCTTCCCAACCCAGGAATTGAATCAGGGTCTCCTGCATTGCAGACAGATTCTTTACGAACTTTACTATCAGTAATTCCTCAGGAATTCATGGGTCTGGAAGGTGGTGGGAATTAGAATTTTTCTTAGTCCCTGGTAACAGCAGTAGGAGAAAGTTGTTGGTGTGTTTTCTTTCTGGAAGGCTGTATTTTGATATTGTTACTTAAATGCTGTAGGAAACAGGCAAGCCTCTGGATAGAAGGTGACTATTTTCGTCAAAAGTTGAGGGGTCAGGAGAATGGAAAACACAGGGCGGCTGTCTCAAAACTCCTTTTGGCTGTGGATGACATTTCAATCAATGGGGTCGAGAATCAAGACAAGCAAGAACCTGAACTGGTAATCGAACCACCCCCATCGTGCTGTTGTCATTGCTTTAAGTGCTGTTGAGAAGCTTTTAGGGCATGGAGAAAATTGTAGATAAATAAAGCACATTCTGAGGGATTATCGTCACATATTTTTTATACTTATTACCCTGTCTAGGAACTTTTTAGTCAAAATAGTTAAAGTTATGTGTCCGTAAAACTATAAGTTTATGTTTTGTTTACTCACAAGGCACTGGGATAAAAAGAGGTATGTAAAGTAAACTCTATATGGACCTAGTGATACCCCCTCTCCCCATTTTTTCCCATTTCATGATAGCTGATTTAGGAGACCACTTGTTCGCAAATGGGGAACCTTAAAGAACCAATAGTTTGGGGGTAGCAGTACTAAATATGTTTTGTAGTGGTAAGTAGATTGCAAAATTTAAAGAAAGCGTTTTCAATGTTGAAAACCCATTATGCCTCTTCACTGTCAAAATGTTTTATAATAAGAGTGCTATTGGGTTCTTTGTGAAAGTCAGCTTTCAGGTGTCCTATAGCTTTATTTTGAAAGCAGCAAGATATTTTAAAATTCATCAGAAAGTTGAAGTATGAATATATTTGTATGTATCTGTGTATGATCTGTATGGATAAATATAGCTGCTGTGCTTCACTGCATTAATAAGGACAGCTTAAGTCATTAGCTCAGTGTTTCTCTACTTACACAGTACAGTGATGACGACGAAATCAATGGAGTGACACAAGGTGATAGACTTCGGGCCCTGAAAAGCAGAAGACAGTCAAAAACAAACGCTATTCCTCTCACGTGAGTCTGATTTCCTTCGTGTAGTTGTTGTTATTTAATTTGTGTATAAGGTCCGTCATGAGCATTTTTTCTATACATTTTCTCCATGGTTGCATGGCCATTATGCCACCTTGAAATGAGTATCTACTTTATTTACAGTCTAAGGGTGTTGCCTAAGAAACTCTTAGGAATCTTTAATTTATCTCTGTCCTCTGTTTTAACCTCTGTAGCTTGTATAGATAGGAAAGCACTATTCAGAAAACTATTTATGGATAGTAAGTGTCAACTAAAAATTTTGAGGACTTGGAAACCTAGGAGGCAGCATTTCAAGTAACCCTGAGAGAACTGCTCTGAGGAGGTGATGGGGGTGTGCAGGGAGGCCCCAGGATATATAGGAGTTTGCAGCAAAGGGCAGGTAGTCTTAATGTCAAAAGATCACCATTAATAAAAGAAAGCTAGATATCTCAAGTGAAGGAATTTATGGGAAGATGTATGGGAAGATGCGGGAGTCTGGGCTCACTGAAAGCATTCCTCTGATCAGCACCTCAGCTGTTTGGGTCCAGTATTCTGTGTTTTCATATCCCAGTCTCCTCAGGGCTCACCGTGGGGAGTGGCTGCAGTCTGGTGGCTGCTAGATGCCAGGTATTCTCCTTTCTGAGTTCCTTCAGAGCTTACCAGTTCACTTTGGCTGGTGGCTGCAATAGCTGGTTTCTTTGTTTACTAATATGGTATGCAGTATTCATTTCTCATAACCATTTTACATCCTTAAGAGAGTGACAGCAGATGTAAACTATAGAATGTAGATTTGTATGTAGTTGTTAAAATTGCAAACTTTTTAAATTTACTAGCATATTGCACATAATTTGTTTTGATATGGTGGATTTTAAGGTGACATGGTGGCTTAATGTCATGTTATTTTAAGTCAACAATGAATTGATTAAACTATATTTTTATATGAACTTTTTGTTGGAGGAATTCTTTTCAAATCACAGGAGATTTAAAGTGGAAATAGCAAGTTTTGTAGTCATTAGGTTGTCTGTGTGTGTCCTCTTATAGTTCCTCGTGTAAATGTTAGTTGAGATTCAATCTTTAGGAACATCCAGGATTGTTAGAAAGATGGTAAAATAAAAAACTTGGCCATTGTATTTTTTTTCCAGGATATTCTTTAGTAGATGCTCCCACCTGTGCCACTGGATTCCTTCCTTCTAGTACCTTTCACTGTGGGATGGGTACCAAATTCTGCAGCACCCCCCCCCCCCCGCCTTTTTGGTGATGGAGACAGGTTATCTTGTTATTCAGTAAGCATCCTGTAATATGGTAAGAAACTATGACACAGTAGTAGGAATAGTGTTAGTTGCTCAGTTGTGTCCGACTCTTTGTGACCGCACGGACTGTAGCCCACCAGGCTCCCCTGTCCATAGGATTCTCCAGGCAAGAATTCTGGAGTGGATTGCCCTTCCCTTCTCCAGAGGATCTTCCTGACCTAGGGACTGAACCCAGGTCTCCTGCGTTGCAGACAGATTCTTTACTGTCTGAGCTAGAGGGGGAAAAAAATTTATTTTGAATTGGAGGATAATTGCTTTACAATGTTGTGTTGGTTTCTGCCATATAACAACATGAATTAGCCATAAGTGTACATATAGCCCTTCCCTCTTCTCCCACCAGCTGCCCCCTCCATCCTACCCTTCTAGGTCATCACAGAGCACCGGCTTGAGCTCCCTGTGTTATATAGCCATCTATTTTACACTGGGTAATGTATGTGTTTCAATGTACTCTTCTCAATTTTTCCCACTCTCTCCTTCCTTCACTGTGTCCCTAATCCTGAAGAACAGGCCTCTTTAATTAAAAGTGGTCCTTCACTAGTATCTTCTCATAATCTTAAATCCCAAAGTTCAGTTCCACTTAAAGGATGTATCATCATGGGCCACTGCCTTGGGAGATTCTTAAAAGACCCAAAGGAAAGGAATGAGTTTTCCATAATAAAGTGCCATGTGAATGAAAGGCATCAGTATTGATTATAGGCATTAATTAAGCATTCTCTTTGCTGTTGTGCATGCAGTCAACTAGAATGCTGTAAGAATGGTGCATTTTAAATAATTTTTTAAATTCCAAATGCCATTTTGTTTTTAATTTCAAGTCTTCATTTAAGGTCTTAATGGTCCTTTTTATTTAAAAATAGTATAGTCCCTCCAAATAATCATTCTGAAGCCAGTTTTATATAGGAGGAAATAGTTAGTGCCCTAGAGCCGTGCTGTCCAAACCTCAGTGTGCGTTTGAGTCTCCTGGGCAGCTTGTTAAAATGCAGATAATGGTCAGTGGGTCTGGGATGCCATCTGATTCTGCATTTCTTTTTTGGCAAGCTCCCAGGTGTCAAAGATGCTGCTGGTCCAGGGGCCACACTTGGAATCACAAGCCCTATAAAATGGATTATTTTGTGGGGTTGCTTTTAGTTACGTCCAGGTTTTTTGTTCTGTTTTTAAAAATCTGCAGCATCAGTTTATTTCTCAATAGCTTGTTGCCTTCTGTTCAGAAGTCAACTTGCGAGTCAGGGGATGGGAATTCTGCTTAGTCAAAGGTTCTTGAGTTTGATAGTACTTAAAGGAAATTTCCTTTAGTAACTCTATCTGCTACCTTGTGAATATGTTTTATAAGAGGACAAATCATTCGATGCTCCTTTCTAAAAAAATGAAACGATGGAAGTCTCTTCCATAGATCAAAGGTTTGTGGTAACATAAAAGAAAACAACGAATGTAGACTGAAATTAGAAATATTGTTGGAAACCAGAAGATGACACGAGATGCTGTGATATTTATCTTGGTATGTGCCGTTCCCTGAGATGGAACTTGATGGATGGCTGAATGATAGTAACTAGCAACAACCCATGGAGAAAATTCCAGCCTCTCTGCTGTCCATTTGCTTAGTTACACCCCACCTTATCCCAAAAGGTGTAAAAGGCACTGTCCCCTTGTGAAGCACTCTTGGCATATGTTAAACAATCTTTTTTATTTTTTTTGGCCATGCTTCATGGCTTGTGGGATCTTAATTCCCAGACCAATGATGGAACCCCAGCCCTCAGCTTTCACTGCTGATTCCCTTTAATTATATTTGTAATCCCCAAAACAATAGAATAGTCCCCAAACTGTCCTCTCCCCATGCACACAATTAATAAGCTTTTAAGTCACACTTTTAAAGGAAAAAGCGAAATGCTGAAATTCTGAGCTCTTAATTATGTGTAAAGGCCCTGGAGGATTTAAGATTAGTCACAGTAGATTTTCCATCCTTCTCCTTCCTTATTCTCTCTGCTTTTTCCAGCCCTCTTGGCTGTTACAGTCATCTCTTCTTTGTTCTTCTTTGTAGTTCCTTTGGCCCCAGTAAAGGTCAACTGGAGATTTCTTTTCCTTCCAAGGTCTTTGTGTTGTTTTAGAAGTTAGAAGTCCACTTTTAGAAGTAAAAGTCTCCTGAGCAGAAGCTTGGGTTAAAAATCTGAAATGTTTCTGCTGTGTGTCATTGTGGACATGTTATTTTGCTTCACTCTTGGTACTTAGCCAAATGAAAATACCTGTAAGAGGGAAAGAGAATGAAAAAATAGATGAGTACTGATGATTCTTAGAAGAACATTATATAGTACATCCAGTCATTGATTTCTATTTCACAGTCAATATTTGGGGAGAATTAAAGTATTAGAAATTATGAAATTAGTGATTTTGTCAGAGAGCTTCTCTGATCCTGACTATCATGAAGACAGGCAATAGCACCATGATCTTCAAGTGATACTCAAAACGTAATCGCAAACCTGTTATTGTCTCTGCTAAAATTGATTCAGTAGATTTTACAACTTAATCCATGCTACCTCTTTCTGTACTGTGCTGATGATTTCTGCTAGGTTTGCTAGGGGTAAAGGAAAATGATGCATGAAGAATGGAAGTGTATCCTATAAGCAAGTAAAAATACAGATATAGTTATCCTTGAATAATCCCTTAGAACCCCCTTAGCAGTGTAGGGTAGGTATGCTTCATCATTGGAAAATAATTCTCTTTCCATGAGCTTTACTAGAGGAACAAATGAAAATCTATAATGCAGACACATGCTGTGTTGTGTTCACTTATAATTAATTGTGCCTCCGATGAGATTGTTGTTAGTTATCAGCTCAGGGTTTTTTTTTTTTTTTTTTTTTTGGTTGGTTTTGCCTCAATTTTGTCTGTGATTTGGTTTTCTGTGTGGTTATTGTGCTTTTTAAAGAATTTCAATCACATAGCTGTGACTCTTAATTTCTGTATCATACAAATTAAATTAACATGGGGGGTATCCAACTAGAGATTGGGTCTAATCTTTTGTTACCAAATATCAAATCTGTTTAAAACTGAAGACAGCTTTTTTCCCCCAACATAAAACAGCAAAGTTGGATCCCTGTTTTCCTGCCCCTTTGCGTCGCAGGGTGTCTGAAATTCACACGTGGCTTTATTTATTTTTGTATTCATTGGCTTCTCAGTTTGAACGTCTGTTCTTTCCCCTTCGCCCCTTTCCAGATGTCCCCTAGCTGTGCTGACCTCTGCATTGTGTAGTGTTGTCATCTGGTGGATTGTGTGTGACTACATTCTCCCCATCCTGCTATTCTGTCTCGATGGTTTCAGAACACAGTAGCCATCAGGACCCTTGACAGATAGCTGCTGTGTAAGTGTCCCATTCCATTTCTCTACTAGCGCTCACCTCTGGTTTCCAGTGTTTTTCTCATGATGCATGTTTTTCTCACTATCAGCTCTTCTAGCTTTGTTTGATTTGCCTTTTTTCCAAGGTTCTTATTCTGAATTCTTTGCACTTCCTGGGTTGGTGGTAGGGAAGGAAGTCCTCACTGTTAGTTTCGTACAAGGGACATTAAAAATAACACAATTTGTTTTTAAAATGCACTTACTCTTAACAGATTTTTTTTGAAATAGCAATTTATGATGACAATGAAGTAGTTTCTTTTTCCTGTCAAAAATATACAGTTAGTTTGGGATCATTGGGATGGTTTTTCTTTCAGTCAGTTGTCTGTACAGCTTTCCTCTGGTTTTCTTGAGTAGATATCTTTAATATAGTCTTTCCAATCAAGCAAAAAGAATTTTCCCACTGGTTTTCTGCTGTTAGAAATAAAGGTATGATTTTGTAGCCATGAGGTCTCATGAGCGTTGCATCCTTTTTCACCTCTGATTCTGCCGTTGAACACAGTGCTCTCTCAGCAGGCCCAGTCTTCTCTCTTAAGTAGGCAGACTTTTCTCCTCCGCCTTGTTTCACTTCCTCCTCTTTAGGGCATACAGTTAAGTATAGTTTTCAGCACTCGTGCTGAATGAAAGCAGGAAAGCAGAGAAGACTGGAGTCTCTTGTCTGTGTGTTTCCATTTGACAATTACTGTGCTCCTCGTGCTCCCACTCTCCTCCTTTCCCAGAAGTCATCAGAATGTTTTTGTTAGATTAATTGAGGCACAGTCTGTTTTCTCCGGATACTCTTTGTCATTAAATGAATAGCTTAACAGTGAAGAGACTCCTTTTCTGCAGAATGTGGCAAGAAGCTTACTGGAGAACATCATGTAGTTAAGGGCAAGAGCACAGAAAAGGAGGATGTGTGTTTTGAAAGTGTGGTTCCCCGCATCCAGGCTGCATTCTTTTTTCTCCAAATTTTTCCTTTACCTCAAATTTTAAGAATTTCTTGCCCTGTTCTGACTTGCACTTGGGAGTTATAAAGGAATACAAAAGTGCCTTCTAGGATCTCCTCCAAAGTATAATTCCATTGCAACCAACTCCAGTTCTTTGTGCTTTCATTGAATGTCTTCAAATGGCTAGAAAAGATTTAAAAATCTAGCAGATGCTTTTCTTTTCAAATTTAAGGAAAATCTGCTTAACGTGTTCCTATTTATGATATTTAAAAAATGTCTTATTGGTATAGACTTACTATTTGCTTGCCAGCTTGCTATGTTGTTTCAGTTGTGTCTGACTTCTTGTGACCCTGTGGACTATAGCCTGCCAGGCTCCTCTGTCCATGGGACTTGGGGTTGCCATTTCCTCCTCCAGGGGATCTTCCCAACCCAGGGATTGAACCCACTTCTCTTACATCTCCTGCACTGGCAGGCAGGTTCTTTACCACTCGCGCCACCTGGGAAGCCCAAGCTTATTATTACTCAGGCAGTATTTCTGATGTGAATTATCCCTTTACCATGTTTTGTTCTATTCCTTTACTTCTCTTATGGATCTTAGATTTCACACGTTCTGACTCGGAAACATCGTGCACTGCATAGATTTATTCTTCTCAAACTATTCTGAGTGGCCATTAGAACAGGTGGAGTCCTTGCTAATAATAATATTTAGGCATTTCATGCTTATATTATTTTTTGCAAGATATGTTTAAAAATGGTATCTATCAGGCTGTTTTTGGTATTCTGTGCCGGGACATAACGTTTTTTGTTATTACTGACATTTGCCACTGTATTTCTAGACCCAAATCAGAGTTATTTACTTTAGCCTGCTCTGATTAATTTGCAATTTATGGAAACCAAAAGGTTTCAACAGTACCAGTGATGTAAACAGGTATAATCCTTGTAATTATCTTTTGAGGTAACTACTCCAGGGCACTGCTGTCGACGGTCGCCTCTATTGGCTGATGATGTAGCATTGCCTGATAGGTTGTTGCCTGGCCTGCCTGGAGAGCTCACCCATAATGGCACTTAACGTGCTGCAAAGGACCTCGTAGACAGTGGGAAGGGGACCGCTGCATGTTGCAGGGCCTCAGGCCCATCTTTTTGAAGGCTCTTTTTGTATTGCTGGTGGACAGCCAGTGTAAATAGTGCATTTGCATGATGGATCCTCTTCTTGGAACGAACTTTTATTTCAGAGCACTTTATGACTTGATTGATTAGAGACCTGGCTTTTCAATTTTTTTTTGCTTTGCCTCAAGTTGCAGGTATTTTTGTATCCAAAATCTGAAAATACTGGCCCTCAAAAGATATTGCAGAGAAGAAAAGGAATTCTAGTAAGGGCAAGAGATAGACAGTAGGACTGAGGGTTCTGTCAGGAAAAGATGGAAAGGAGAAATGACATGTGCTGAATGTTGTCCTGCAAAGCTGTGCGGTTGGCCTGGTGTGCAAGGTGGGAGGTACCGAGTTCCCACATCCCCATGACAGAGTAAATACTTCACCCTTGTTGGCTAGCTTAACCCACCTTAGGGTGTTACTTGTAAGATAAGTAATATCTAGGTTTAGTTGCTGTGTTTTCTTCCCACTTTATTGATATATAACCTATAGATGAAATAACTAGTCTGTTTTTAATGCAAATAACTGGTGACCTGAATCTTATTGATGAGATTAATGCATTCCAAATTTCTGTCATGCTCTTATTTTCAAAATTGCACATAAATTTTTTTTTTGTAACACTGAAAAACCATTCACTTTTATTAATCAAGATACATTAATTTTACACAGATGGAATAAAACCTTTTACAATTGTTGTTTGATCCTTGATTAAAATACACCTGACAAGCTCCTAAAAACTTTCCTGTTTCTCTGATGAAATGATCTGAGAATGTGATTTATATGGTTTACAAAATAGAGGCTAATTTAGTAAACATGGATGGACATTAATTATATTAATATGACTTTTCCAGAAAGTTTTCCAAACTTACATCAGATAGAAGAGAAGGTGTCCTTACTTCAAGCCTGTCAGATAATATGCATGATTTCTCTCTGTTGCTGTTATAAAAATACCTTACATTTTCATGAACTATCCTTGATTTATGCTTAAAAAGCAACTAATATTATCAGCTACTAATATTACTTCCTGAATTGATCACACTAATTTTATAGAGAAGTAAATAATTTTAAAAAGATGTTTCCTATCAGCTTAAAATATGAGTTAGCAGTCATTTCTTGTTTGAATAATATTTAGGCATAATAGTTAATTTAAGAAATCAGGAGATAAATTTCCTCAGCAGGCAGTGTATTGGCTCTTGGTTTTTTTTCTGATTTTGCAGTGTAATAGTTGATACTTTTGACCATAAGTAGCCTCAAATTATTTGAAAAGTAGATGTGGTATTTCAGAAAAGCCAACAGGAGTCTCATTTTCTCCATTTATAAGAAATGGAGATAAAAACCTTGAGCCCTGTTAGGTGGGCAAGAGGCTTCAGGACAGCAGTAGAAGCATGAAGCGCTGGGCCTGGGCTTCAGTAATAGCAATGGAATTGTTGCTGTTTGTTTCTATTGTTGTTTTGTTTTTCTCTATGAAAAATTCTAGATTCACAGCCTTAGCAGAGACAACTAAATATCTTCTCCTCACTTTATAAAATGAGAAAGAATGTAAAAATAACTCCTTGTTTTCAGTGATGGAATTTATATGCCAGAGCAGTTGGTGCCCTTTTTGATCATGTAACTATGTCAGCATATACATTTTCTCTTTTGTTAAAACAGTCAACATACAGGATGATAAAGCTCTATTAGAAATCCTGAATCAAGCATTGACTCGTTTAGCCAGGAACAGTTTCCCTCAGTGATATTGAAGACCTCATTCGTAAGGCTTTCAGAAATGCTTCTCATTTAAAGAGAAACAGCTTGGCTAGCAGTACCCCATCCTCAGCTCTCCCTTCCTCTCCCCCAAAATGGCTTGAAAACCACTGACCTCCAGACTTCTGCTCTAGTGCAATACAGCCCCATTGTTTGTTCAATGATGAGAAATTAGCATTTTACTAAATGCTAATTATTCTATAGTTTGAGTAATACTAAAGTTACAAGAATTTACTACATTTTAAGGACCTGGCTTTGATTATTAACTAATGTGGTGTTAACACAGGCACAGGAGGTAGGACTGACTACTAGTTAGTTATGAAGGTTTCGTGTTACCCAGGAGCTGGGTTCTCGTAAGTTGTTGTTGGCTGTCTCACCTGTATGTTTGGATATGAGAGGATAAAACTTTTTATAGTGTTTTTCTCTCACAGATGAATAAAAGTTGACTATGTATAAATGTGTATGTATGAAGTTCAGTGTTTTAGTCATTATCTCTTGGAGAAAAGAATTGCTTGTAAAATTTTTTGGTGTTTTCTGCTGTTGTCCCTATGACAGCTCAATGGGGAAATTTAAAACACCCTCTGCTTTTGAGCAGGTATTCTATGTGGGCTTTATCTGAGGGGTTCTTTCTGATTTGTTCATTTGCCTCCTGGGCAGTCTACTGCCATAGAGTATTAGTTCCTTGAGATGTCTAGAGTCTGATTAAATAAAGTTTCACAAAATTAAAGCAATTTCATTTTAATGGTAGTTGATGACATAGTAGGTAGTTGTAATCCAGATTAAAAAAATATTGCTTTGAACATCTTTTTAAAATTTGAAATGTTATAAAAAACATGAGTTTGACTTGAGTTCTGTTGCTTGTTCTTCCATCTTTGAAGAGTGAGTACTGTGTATATATTTATGTTCATAGTCTTTAGAATTAGGGTTTTAAAATGATTTAAAATGATTTCTTGTTTCATGACTAGAATTCTGAGAATCTGATTTTACTTTGGGGCACAAAAATTTGTCTTGCTGATTGATTTCTTTGGTGTGGGAATTGCTTGACATGCCAGGTGATTCATTTTCCAAAAGCAAAGTTTTCTGGTTATCTTTGTGTAAACCTTCATAGGGAAATGAGACGCTCTATTTCAAAAGACCTTGATGTAAGAGTGTGTTTCAGATTTTTTTTTTTTTGACAAATGTGTTTATGGAAAATTCTATCAGTTCTCAAGAAAGTAATTTGCACTGAAGTGCAAAAATGCCCTCCTCTGTCAAGTATTTGCAAATTGTTTCAGTGAATATAATGCTATTTTTTTCCAACTATTTTCAGAGTAATTCTTCAGTCCAGTGTTCAGAGCTGTAAAACATCTGAACCTAACATTTCTGGCAGTGCAGGCATTACTAAAAGAACCACCAGATCTGCTTCAAGAAAAAGCAGTTTTAAAAGGTGAGAAAAGAACCCTACTCTTCTGAAGTGTTTCAAATATTGACTTTCCAGTTTAATCTTCTGGAAATAGAAATGAAGACAGGAGAAAGCAAAGTCCCAGTGATGGGAAATTAATCAAAAATGTTTGACTTGTTTATCATCTGAGAAAATCTGGACCATTTTAATTTAGGGTTTTGTTTTTCAGAGGTCATTCTTAACATTGGAAATGTGGTCTCTGGGTCATAATACGGGAAAGCTGAGACTGTTGTGTACTTCTGAGTTCTTAAATTGAGAACTTTCAAAGCTCTCTGTCAGGACTTGGAGGAAATCTTTCTGTCTATATATCAGATTCATCATAATTGTTGGAGAATTAATTGCACATAAGTGGTGAAAAAATGAGAACTCTTGAGAGTTTGGGAACTTTCTTTACCTAGTGACTGTCACAGTCTACCCCCAGAGGGGTAGCTCTTTCACTTTCTGGCCTAGCATCTTGCAATTCCTTCATTAGTATACACTCTGACAAGAAAATGGACATGTTCTGTGACCAAATCCGTGACTCACCATTGTTTTTGGATGTTTATCATGATCCGAGACATTTCATTTTTAACATATTCCGAAATCAGATCCCCTTTTAGGAGAGAGCAGATTGCCCACTTCCCATCTTCTCAGGATGGATAGGCAGGCACCTTTTTTGTGTGTATGTATCTTTGCCTAGAGCTGGCGACCCATGAGGCACGACAGTGCTGTCTTAGAGAGATCACAAGTGACCTAAGATAATCTGCACCAGACTTTAGAATGTTCTTCACAGTTTTCCTTGCTATTTTTTAACTTCTCTACTCTCACACCTTTGAGGCTTTGGGCCTGCCGTGACCTTCAGTGCTGAGCTGGTTTCTGGTGCAGCCCCACGGCAGCCTGTGTCCTAAGGGACTCGCTAACAATCTAAGAGCGCTGTGTGTTTTGCTGTTTTAAGGAATTGTTCAGTTCTGCCGCTGTTTCTCTTTGTAGATTCTTTTGGACAGTTTTTTACTATGAACTTTTGTTTAGCTGAGAATGTGATAGTGCCTCCAAACAAGTATTTGAGAATTGAGCATTGATTCATGATTTTAGGGTTTAAAACTTTTCATTAGGGAAGGTATCAAATGCTCTTTAATTCCACTGAGAGGAATATTAGAGAAATGCTGACAAAAAAGTCAAGAGTTCAGGTACATTATAACGTAATGCCAGAATTTTTTTTAAAACAGTAAGAAATAGGAAATGATTGATGAATTCTGCCACATGAATTGAGAGTCATGTTTTCAAAGAAAAGTTAATGACCTGGGTTAACTGCTTATGGAGCAATAAGTGAAAAGGGCTACACATAAAACTTATGAAATATTGCTTTAATTTTAGAAATGTAAAATGTGTTTTATATATGTGTAAAAGCGTATAGGTTGTAAATATTTATGTGTGTGTGTGTGTGTGTGTGTGTGTATGTTAGTCACTTAGCTGTGTCTGACTCTTTGGGACCCTGTAGACTGTAGCCTGCCAGGTTCCTTTGTCCATGGAATTCTCCAGACAAGAATACTGGAGTGGGTAGCTATTTTCTTCTCCAAGACAAAGGAAAAATATGCTTAAAATACCAGTTCTGGTTGGTAGAACAGCTGGGGAGTCTTTTTTTCTTTTTTAAATCATTTTCTTTTTTTCTAACTTTTCTACAATAAATGAGGGGAAATGGGAGTTTTTTAACTTTGACACTTATATGTAAATTATTAAAAATTTAAGTAAAAGGCCTGCTGCTGATGATAGTTAGACATATTTTGAACGGACATGTTCTTTTCAGACTTCCGTCACAGCCAAGTGTGTTTTGCACATTTAATTCTGCTTTCTGCTTCCCCGGATGCTCTCCAGGTGTCAGACGAGGTGACTAGCGTCCCGAAGCCGGGACTGCACATGCCGGGTCACGCCACGCTCCTCTTAGGGTGTGGCTGTATGGCAGTTCTTCCATCTAGGTCTTGTCTAGTGATCTAAACTTGTGCTTTTCAGCAGAGGTGGTTCCTGATTGCGGTGAGCATCTGCCTGAGGTCCCTGAACTTGTTGCTTTGAGGGCTTTAAAGTAGAGCTCAGACTGAATAGTTTGAATATTGAAACAGCCCAAAGCAGTTTTCAGGCAATTGGGATAGTGCTGAAAGCCAAAAAGACTTCTTTTAAATTCTGAAATGGGCTTTCAGAGATTTGGAGGGGCATAGAAGTAAAACAACAGGAGTCAGTTGGGTTTCATAGAGCTTTTAACCATGCCCTCCCTCCATGCCAGATCTCCTTTGCCTGTTTCCTGGCTTTGGCCTGTTTTGACATCACCTTAACTGCAACCACTTGCAGCTCACAAGAGAAAGGCAAATGCATTATGTACAGTCCCACTCCTGCTTCTAGGAAATAATGGGCCTCAGGCACCCAAGCTGTAGCCTGTATTTTTATCCTATAGGATAGTACTCGTTTTTGGTTGGAGGATAACTGATTCAGGACAAAATAATATGAGCTAAGATGGTTAACTAATTTTAAAGTATTGGATAGAAATCTTTTCTTGGAACAGCAGTACACACATAGATACACATATAAAATAGTACCCCATTTCCGTGTACATTAATAAACACTTTGAAGGCACCAGGGCTGACAGTCTGCTGTTACTCCCATTTGCGAGGTCCTCTCTCTTGCAGGTTGATGTTGTCTGTTTGTCATCATCTCTATTGTGCCACAGAACTTGACCTTTCATTTCTGTATTCTCTTCTACTCTTAGAGGCTTCCAGGATGAACACCTCACTCAAAGTCACTTTCCATTGATTTGGCTCTTTTGATTTTTGACAGTTTACTGAGAGGCTGTACCTCTTTGAAGAACTTTTGCACGAACACACTAAAAAGGTAGTTATTTGGAGACTGAAAAAATCATTATGAGTGTTGTCATAAGTATTTGTTGTTGGGAAGAATGCCACCATGTGTCTCTCATGGCGGGTGATTATTCTCCCATGTGTGCATTGAACACCAGCCACATCTAAACTTAAATCATGAGTGTTAAGCTCTGCTCTGGCACAGCCATGACAGTTCAGGCGTGGAAACTCTGGAGTGTCTGGTGGCAGATGGGGTGCTGAGGGGAGTCTATGTGGCACCTTCCTCATCCCCTTTCTTAAGTCCAAAGAAGTAAATTAATGGACTTCTATGCCCCCCACTTCCTGCTAGAGCTAGAAACCAATTTTAATATCTCTCTTTTAATAATTGCTAAATTCACTGAAGAACCAGCTAAATAGAATTGGCCTGTTTTTCAGTGTTCTCATATGGACTGTCTGAGATGTTCTTTCAGAATGAGTCTCAAGCATTTCATCATCAAGCCTCTGATTGAGAACCTTTAGGCACCTCATTTGATGTCATTCAGTTTGGTTCATGTCTTTACACAGCTCACCTATTGATTGCATGTTTCTGTAAGCTTATGTTGTTTCTTTGGGTCTGTCTGTTCATTTCCTTTTTAAAAGAAATCATAACTTCATTTGTTTTCTAAGCAAATGGTCATGTACAAGTGCCTTTTTTATTCTAAGTTGCATCATTGGGAACCATCACTTCCTGCTTATTTTTTGTGCCTAATTATATTTTGGAGGAAGATAAATACGCAGACTCTTTCCTCAGCCTCTGAAGCCATGAGTCTCTTCACAGGCCTTTCAGTTGGGAGTAGCTGCATTTCAGACTTTGGCTTTTTAAGTCTTCTCATTTGTGAAGTTTGCCATCATCATACCTTTCAATGCTTCTTGTCCTTAGAGTCTCAGATCTCAGTGTCTATTCCATCACCTCTGGGCTTTAATTTTTTGTTACTGCCATTATCTTTAAAAACTGTATCACTGTAGGAGCCCCAGAATGTTGTATCTAAATATTCTCTCCTGCTGGTTATTAATCTTCCTTTGAAATTTCAGATATCTTCCCATTTGGCTTCCCAAACTGACCTGGACCTTTATACTCAGTACTCTCTTGGGGGTCTCGGAAAACTAAGTGATTGATTCAGATGAGCTGCTCTGATAGAACCTCATCATCATCTAAGTGAGGGTCACCTCCAGATGGGAATTGGTTTCTCTCCTTTCTTTTGCTTCAGTTGTCCTCTGAAAGTCGCTGTTTAGTTGAAAGTTACAGTGATCTCTTGGGGAAGGAAAGAAGGGAGGTAGGGTGAAGATCAACGTAGATCAGTCACCCACATACAGAAAGGGGTCGGTGGCTGTCGCTTGCAGCTGTGCGGCGGTGTGGAGCGAGGCGGGAGCAGGTGCGGGGTGCCCGCTGCACTCTGCTAAACTGGAAACGGCTGGCAGTGCCCCGGCTTTTTCTGTAACCAGATTCTGCCTTTGGAAATAATCAAGTAACACTTCTTTATCTTTTCGTTCTTTCCCACTTTTCCCACAGCCTGATTCCTCAGAGAGAAAGAAGGAAAAGGAATGCTTTGCAACAAATGCCCTTAATGGCATTATGGTACTCTCATTGCTCGGCTGCTTTTGCCCTCCCTTCTTTTTTTATTGTTGTTTATTGTTTTTTAATTTTTTGCAGAACTGAAACTTTTTCTGCTCTGCCTTTTCTCTCCTGTTTGTCTTTACTTTATGGTTGATATTGTACTGTCTTTTCCAAAGTATCTGTCATTAAAGAATTATACAAGTGTATACTTTTTAGCATGTCAATATTTTTATTATGTTGCCTTCCTTGTCTTTGATAACTGCGTATGGGACACTTAAAAGCCTTCATGGTAAAATCCTTTTTTTTTTCCCCTGTAGTCCCTCCATTTCAAGGACTAAAACAGTCTTGCGTTAAGTAAAAACCTGTGACCAGAACTGAAGGAAGACTCTAGGAACAGAAAACTACAACAGGACTTTAGCACAATTTATTTGGGAAAAAAAAAAATTGCAAAAGCCTTAGCTGCTTTCCACCTAACAAGTTTATTCAATGAAGAAAATGTCCACTGGAATTTAAATAACTACATGAGCTTGGGTGCAAGTGAATGACTTGAAGAGGGCCCAACTCTCCTATAGAAATGTCTTGAACACAAAAAGCTGTTGTAAATTAGTCTCAGGTGTAAATATCAAAGCCCTCTGTTATCAGGAGAGCTGACTAATCTGTGTGGTGCACGTCTGTCCCTGTGATGGCAATCATTTTAGCTGCTGGCCTTCAGAAGAATTGAAGATCTGATGGAGGTTTTTTACTTATTTATTTGCTGTTCACCCTGTGTCAAAATTTATAAAGATAAAACAAGCATTACTGAAATGGTACTTTCTGTGATTTGATACTATTTGGTTTAATCATCTTCACGTTAATATTTGTAATACTGTTGTAATGTTAACTCTGTTAAGTACCCAAGCTGCTTGTCTTCCACCAAAGAGTGCTTTATTAACAAGAATCTGTGAAAACCACGTTTAAAGACTGTTGCATGTTGTAATACAAAGTGGTACTTTGGTAACTTAAACCTATCAAGAGAATGTTAGTAGTAGCTTTAGAAGACTCAGGAAGAGAGACTAGCTTCAGAGTTGGAAAATTGTTGTAAGTCATTCTTTTTTGTGTCACTTTGAGTCTGAAGAATGTCAAGCCTGCCCACTAGTTGGTTACCCAATCATACAAACTAAAATCGTATTTCCATGCAGGAAAAGCCCCCACACTGTTGCTGTTTCCCCTGGAAACAGTGATCCTAAATAATGAGGACTTTTTTTAAAAGTTACTTTGTTAGGGTCTTTCTCTGTAGCATTGTGAATTTTTGTTGTTGTTATGTTAATGGCCTCAGGCCTTTTGGTTTCAGTCATGGTTATTTGCATCTAGATTTCACTTATTTGTAAATAAGAAACTCACTGTTGCCTTTGGTTAGGGAATACAACTAATAACTCTTTGCAGAGTGCCTTCTCCCCTCAATCCCACAGAAACACAACAGTCTGTAATGGAAAGCAATCACAAAACAATTTATTTGCTGCTAAAAAGAAACAGGGCCCCAAATAAAAGAGTATTTATAATCACCTTGGTTACTTCCCATAAGTGAATGATTTAGTTATTGTTAACCAGTGTTTGGCTATCCTAGTTTCGAGAATGAGGAGCTATATTGAAAGGCAAAATGCCTTCACATTCTTTACAAGATGAATGCATCAGGTCAGTAGGCAATGCCATTTTTAAAAAGCTGCCTTCTTAATGTAGTTACAAAGAATAATGAGTGGTTGGAATAAGCAGATTAAAGTCTGTTTAATGTAAAAAGTAATTAGAAGACTGTGGATCTCTTATGGTATTTACTGTCTTGGAGTAAATTATAAGTTTGCCTAGTTTTGAGGGGAGATGGAAGATGCCATTGTTTTGATCAAACAAGCAGCTCCTCCTCATCGGGCACCATGAGGTAGGGCCATGCCAGCTTCTAAACATCAGGACCAGACCTCAGAAAAACGGTGGTTTTCTATCCCTGAAAGTTCATAAATACAAAGACCCACTTACCCGAGGGAAGACAGCTCTTGATGAAGCTTTGAGTGGGAAAAGAAACCTTCTGTTGGCTGTGTTGTTCTGGGAGATACTAAATATTCAAGCTGTGCCCAGGTATAAAACACTGAATTCTCAGGGCAACTCTTCCTCCCTTTATACCTTTAAAGGCCATTTCCTACATAACTGATCCCAGCAGTTATGAAAAATCAAACTTCCATCTGAACCGTTCCTGCTGATCAGCAGAACAAGTAAATGCTGTCTCCCTCACAGTGAATAAGCCATCTGATGTTTTGGCCAAGAGTGAAAAATTGGGGCTTCAATGTACGTTTTGTTTTACAAATTGCCTTTTTGTGTGGCTGCTCAGGTTTTCCAGCTAGAGTTGCTATCACTGAGGTTCTTTCTAAAAATCCTTGTTTTTGACAGGCTCACTGAAAGTAGTCATAGCAAACTAGTGATTTGTTAAGAAACATTCCTTGGAACACACAACTTGGGATAATGCTTCAGATGGATCGTATAGCACATTGTTAAGGGGATATTGAGAATCTAGGAAGTCTCTGGGTCTGACTGATGGAAAGTTCTTCCTGCTGTGAATAAAAGACTCTTCCTCCTGTCCCCAAACTGAAACTTCAGCACACCCAAGAATCTTCTCAGAATCTCATTTTTAATTTGTTGTATAAGATCTTGGTATGGAAAATGAAATAGGGCATGTCAGATATGGAGAGATTTCTTTAACTTGAGAGCCTTAAACAGCTTTGAAAATACACCAGAGAGTTTCCATTGAGATAAAAATTAGAAATGTGTATTTTTAGGTGCCCTTGAAGCTTTCTGGGGACTCAAATCATCAACAGTCAGGGACAGTCCAAAAGAAGAGTGTCTGCCAAACTGGGTACCTAGATGTGTGAATGGACTTCCATTTTGTAATGCTAAAGAAAAAGTAGAAATCCCTCTAACCTGTGAATGAAGAGGGATGGATCCTGAGCAGTGCCTCAGTAAAACAAGTAGCCTTACTTGTCAAAATGTAGCTGCATCTAAGTGGCACGCTGCTCTTCTGGTCTCCAGAATTTTTCTGTTCTAAAGTTGATTCTCTTAGCCTGTCCCCCACCCGCTTGCTTCCCTGCCCTCTTCCGCCTCTCACAGGGGTGATTTCTACCTCCTGGGCCCAGACAAGATCTAAAAGAGTTCCCAAGTGTTCTCATGAGGCAATGTGTCTGCCCTTGGAGTGTGAGATGCTTCAGTGAGCTGTTCAGACCATCAGGCGTTCTGGGCCACGTTATGCAAAGAGCTCTGGGAGCCTCTCCTTTGCTTGACAAATGAGCATTGCACGCCTTTGATGTTTGTCAGAAAGTAGCATAGCTGCTTCTCTTCATACATTTTTTAAACTAGCAATTGCATTTTGGAAAGCAAAGGCAACTTTAAAAGTCTGTTTTAATTCTGTAATAGTTCTCTCCCCTCGAAACTGTCCTGTGAGGCTAGCTGCTGCTCTTCCTTTTCTATTACATCTGAGTATTCTCCATGTCCCTAAGTGGAAATACTGCAGATGTGTTTAATCGACTGGACAGTTCACCTATACTGTGTAGGAAATTACCTCCTTAATTGCCCAGTAGAATTAACTGTCAGCAGATATGTTCATCTGATTATATTACTGCAGTTTTATATCAGTGATTTGCAGACTTTTATCTAACCTGCACTCATGTATAGATTATTAAATGTTTTAAAATGTAACTGATTAATCAATATTTGATCAATCATTGTCTTGATTTTTTTAAGTAAAATGTATATTTCTAATCATATTTTATAAAGCTGAGAGAACTGGTTGAATGAATGTTTATTTTCCTGAAGGTATTTTTCAGATAAAGCTTCATAATGGCCTGTAAACTTTGCGTATCTATGTAGTTTGATACATATTGTCAATTTGTGTATTGTAACTGGTTTTATACAAAATGTTGAATAATGGAAGTTGTATAATTATAATCATATAATTAAAAGTATTAACCAAAGAGCCTTTTGAATTTTTTGCTCACTTATCACTCTGAATCATGGTAAGCTGTGGTTAAAGTGTAAAGTAGATATAACCCTCTGCAGTATTAGTTTGCTAGGATGTGGTCTGGGTGGCTTAACAGAAATTTATTTTGTTACACTTCTGGAGGTTAGAAATCCCAAGATCAGAGTGTTGTTGGCTGGGTTGGTTTCTCTTCCTCTCTTCTGATGCCTCTCTCTGTGCCCGCCAATCCCTGGTGTCTCTGTCTGTCCTCCATTTCTTATCTATGAATCAGGTTGGGTTAGGGTCTATCTTAATGGCCTCATTTTAACTTCATTACCTCTTTAAAGGCACTATCCCCAGATACAGTTCCATTCTGAGGTATTGGTGGAAGGACTTTGACTTAAGAATTTGGGGGGAATACTATTTAGTCTGTAATATCTTCCTCAGGGTAAGATAGTAAGCAAGTGAGGGGGCTCCTGATATGAACTCATTCTACAGATACCCACTAACCAGCTCAGGCATGTAAAGGTTTGACCCTTCTGAAACCTGCTAAGGAAAAGACACATGTAAGTCAGACCCTTGGAATCTCGTGGGTCATACACTGTAGCCCCTTCATTTTACCTGCCAAGGTCTGGATTAAAGTGCTAAGTAAAGGCAGGACCAGTGCTGGAGCACTTCGTATCCCAGTGTATAACCAAGGCCGCCATCCCCAGCTGCCTGCCCTCTTGGTCTCTTACAGGGCAGAATCCTAAAAAACCTAACTGCCCACACCATCATGCAGAGGTTATGTCTAGGATGTAGGAACCTGTCCTGTTAAGGGGTGCTGTCCAGTTCCACAAGAATTTAGCTTTGATTTGTGCTAGGATATGAGTTTTTCAAAGTGCAAAGTCAAGGGACTGGTCTGTTCATCCAAACTCCTACATACCACTGCCCTCAAAGAGCAGTTTGTAGGCTTTGCCGCGTCTGCCTGCTCCTCCGTGGTTTACCCTGAGTGCTGTGCCCTCCTGCTGACCCACTGGAGCTCAGGTGGCATTGGCCAAGCGGCTCAAGATACGTGAGCGTGAAGGGGGCAGGCTTGGCAGTCAGGCTCTGAGGCTCGCCACTGGATGAAACTAGAGGACGTGCCTGTTTCTCGTGGGAGCAGCCGTGTCTTCCAGGGCTGTGCAGTGTGAGCAACCAGCCTCTGAGACCCTAGTGCTGTAGATTCTTGCTTTCTTTCTCTGCCCAGTTTTCATTTACCACATGGACAATTCACTAAACACCTCTACTTCTTTCCATAAATAAAACGGGAATAAGAGAATTTTCACCTTAACAATTATAGTGAGAATTAAGTGGGATAATACATGGGACGTGCTGCAAATGGCATTTGGCACCTAGCTTTCAG